CATGTGACTATCTGAACTATTTGAAAGCTCAAATATGATAATATGTGTTTTATTATCTTTGTCAGCTTTTAGTTTGAGTTGGTTCCCTAGCATTTTTGGAAGATAGGGATTTTTGAACTCAGATTTAATGATTAATGATGACTCAATGATGAGTTAATGATACTTAACTCAGTTTTAAATAGCATCTTTTTTATATCCTTCAATCAAGACAAATCACTGTGTTTAATACTTCTCTTGACCTGGCTATTAGAAGATGCTTCAGGTTGTTACCTGAGTCCTTTAGTCGCATCTCAGTAGTCTTTGGATTCCTTACTTTGTGTGTTGTGGTTCATTTTATGTGGTTTCATCTCTTACTAGGATATGGTATTTAAATATCAGTGTAGGGGAGAGTCACTGTGTTCAGGGTTTTTTTTTTTTTTTTTTTTTTTTTTTTGTGTGTGTGTGTGTGTGTACCTTGGATTGAACTCAGGACCTTGCACTTGCCAGACAGGCACTGATGCTGCTGAAGTATCTCCCTGGCTGTATTTAGGATTTTTGATGGACAGATTCCTTTTTCAAAGAAAAATCACATCATGAATTTAGGATTATATTAATTAATCAAATATAGGATTAGATGTCTTTAAAATTCAGCCTCCTCCTCTTCCTTCATAGTAGTTAACTCTCTTCTGCCAAACACCTTCATTCCTAGATAGGTCTGTTTTTTCTCTCAGTCAGTATGTGTATCTGGCATAGTTTCAGGATAACATTGGTATTAACAATGCAGTGCTTAAAACTTGACATTGATTTGAATTTTTTTTGTCTTGGATACTATAGAAAAGTTGTAATAATTAGATTCCTTTGAAATATTTTCTGTCATTAAGCTGTTAAATAATATTTGGGCTCATTTGTTTCATTTTGTTTTTTAAACAAAATTTTAGGTCTCTGTTACCATAATCTTCTTTGGATATATTCTATTTCCTTAATTTTAGAAGGTTTACTTATTTATTTAAGAACAGTTTTAGTTTTACAGTAAAATTGAGAGGAAGATTTAGAGGCTGTCCATATCCACTCCCTCCCCCATGCTTGCCGCCTTCCTTCCCGGGGCATGCTTGCTGCAGTTGATGAGCCTACACAGATGCGTTTTTGTCGCTGGAAGCCCATCGTTTCCATGAGGTTTGCTCTCGTGGTTGTGCAGCCTCTGGTTTGGACAAATTTATAGTGGCGTGTGTCTACTCTTCCAGCATTTCAGCAGTATCTCTACTGCCCTGGAGATCTGTGCTCTGCCTGTTCATCTCGTTCTGTCCTTAATTCCTGGCAGACATTGCTCTTACTGCCTCCGTAGTTTTTCCGGCATGTCATATGGTTAGAATCATAGAACAGCCTTTTCACATTTACTTCTTTCACTTAGTATTATGTATGTAAGATTTCCATATCTTCATGGCTTGAGAATTGTTTTCTTTTTTCACTGAATATTTCCTTGTCTAGATATAACAGTTTATGCATTCACCTACCATGGGACATCTTGATTGTTTCTAAGTTTTGACAACTACTAATAAACTGCTATAAACATCTGTGTGCAGGTTTTGTGTGGACAGAAATGTTCAAGTCCTTCGGATAAATATCAAGAAGCAGAATTTTTGGACCAGATGGCAAGAGTATTTTTGCATTTGTAAGAAACTGTTTTCAAAAATTATTTTGCCATTTTGCGTTTCCTTCAGCAGCAGTTAAGTTCCCTTTACTCTATGTCCTCAGCATCTGGTCTGATCACTGTTCTGGATTTTGGCTGCTCTACTAAGTAGAGTTCAAATGTGTATCTCATTGTTTTAATTTGAACTTCTATGATTATCTGATGTAGAACATCTCTTTGTATGCTCTTTGCTATTTATATATCCCCTTTGGGATAATGTCTGTTAGGGTCTTTGACCTTCCCTTTGAAAAAAGAAATCTTGACATTTGTGTTCTTGTTAAGTTTATAGGGCCGTGGATGTAGCTCAGGCGTATAGTGCCTGCCTGACAAGTATGAGGTCTTCAGTTTGATTCCTGGTACCAAAATCAAGGGGGTAGGGGAGAGTTTATATATTTCTGAGTACAGTCCTTTGTCAGATATGTTGCTAGTAAATATTTTCTTATTTTCAATCATTTGTCATCTCTTTTTTTCCCATAATTTTTTTGATAAACAAATAGCAATGAGGCAGTTTCAAATCAAATCGCTTGTCATCTCTTTTTTAAACTATCACAGATCAGAAAGTTTTAATTTTAATGAAGTTTAGCATTTCAGATTTTTTTAATAAGTTATGACTTTTGTTTTTGTATCTACAAGCATTTGGTTTTCTACTTTTTAGTTTGTGTGGCTTTTCTTAGACTATAACACATATACATATGGGTGTATGTGTTTATGCATATATAATGTGCACCTTCACAGTAACAAATGTTACCAAGCTATATACTATTCTGCTTTTTTCCTTAATACATTCTATAGGTCTCTTCATAGCAGTATATGAATACTTTGCCTATTTCTTTTTTACAATTGAATGATATGTGTGTGGATGTTCAGTAGTTCATTCTGTGAGTTCCCTAGTGATGGACATTTGGGTTGACTTTATTTTTTTTTAGTTTCATAAATAATGTCATATATCTTTGGGTTTTCTATGAGAGTATTTTTAGAAGAAAATCCTGAAAGTGGGTTTAATAAAACAGTAAATACATGCATTTCTGTAACATTTATTGTGAAGTTTCAAACATGCAGTAAATTGAAAGCTATGAGTAATCACTGTATATTTGCTATGTAGGTAATATTGAAACTGTTAGCATCCACTTAACCAGCCATTTGTTCATCCTTTGCTGTAACTGTATATTAACCTGTCTTATTTTTAGTTGCATTTTGATGTCAGTTACTGCTACCTGTTTTTCCTTAGATACTTCAGTTTATGTATCACTATTGCAAGTTCATTGTTGCTGTGGGTTTTATTTTTTGTAAAACTTACATATGCAAATTTGAGGTGTATGTTTGGTGAGTTTTGGTAAATGTGTAGCACTAGCCTGAAGCCTTAATAAGATACAGAACGTTACCTTCAGCCCGGCAGCTTCTCATGCCAGTCCTTGTAGCTGGTTCTTGCCTTCTCGTAGTTGATTCTTGACCTTGCACTTTCATGGGTGGACACTGTATGTGTGTATCATTTTTTAAAAACCATATAATCTGTAAGGAATTTTGATTGTTTTAATCTTGTGTTGAAATTGTTTTCCTAAGGAATAATATGAAAAAGTGTGTATTTGTATGAAATTTGAGATATACTATTATTAAAATTGTCCTGTTTCAGAGTCATATAACATACCTTTGATGTTTTTTCCCTTCCAATTCCATAAGCACGCCTGCCACTTTGGAACAGAACTACATAGTTTGTGAACTGCAGCAAAAAATAAGTGTGCTATATTCCTTTTTGAGAAGCCATTTGAAGAAGAAGAGTATTATATTTTTCTCCAGTTGCAAAGAGGTACCAACTGTTTATTTTTTGTTTGTTTGTTTGTTTTGTGTTGTTCTTTGGTGGAAGTGGGGATTGAACTCAGTCCCTTGCGCTTGCCAGGGAAGCACTTATTCCACTGAGCCATCTCCCCTCAACTGTTTATTTTTTGCTCACATTATTTTTCAGTTTTTTAAAAACAAAAAACAAACAAAAACACCCAAGGTCTCACTATGTAGTTCAGGCTGGCTTCAAACAAAGGCCAGCCCTCGTGCCTCAGCCTCCTGCGTGCTGGGGTTACAGGCCTGAACCACCATGCCATTTGCTGTTGCATATACCTGTTTTCTGTTCTACGTTTTTCTCTTCTCCCTGCACTTACTTAATTTTGCCCATATTAAAAAAAACAAAAACAAAAACAAAACCTTTCCAATCGCTACTTTTTGTCTGTCACTGTGTAAGTCTAAAGACTTAGCTCTACTGGCTGGCTCACTTTGTCTCTTCCCGTTGTCCCTTTAGCCTTGTTCTGAAATGCAACTTGCCAGAAGGTGCTCAGTTATCAGTCCTTACCTCAGTGACCTCTCAGAAACCTTAGATCTAGCTGACTACGCCCTTCTTCTTTGAAGTATTTCATCAGACATTTCGTCTCCATACTAATCAACCTGTCTTTTTTGCATTCTTCCTTGATGGGTTTATTTTTGCTGCTTCTCCTGAGGTTCCCGCCACTTGATCACTGCAGTTTGGAGTGCCTCTGACTTCGCAGCCATTTTTCTGCTCATGTTTTCTTTCTAGGTAATCCCACTAGTTCCCAGGCTGTAAATTCCATCTCTGTGCTAACAACTGGCAAATCACCATCTCAAGTGGAGTCCTGTCTTCTTTTCTCAGCTTTAGTCTGAGAAAGTATATACTTTTGATTACTAGATATTTTAAATTATGTATCTAGAACACATCTCACTGTTTAACATGTGAAAACCATTGGAGTTACTAGTTCTGCTTCTTCCAACTCTTCCTATCTTAGTAAATGACTTGATTCCTAATTTCTGTTTGTCTTTGTTCCAAATTCAAGCTGTTGGTATAACTCCTTAAGCTGTTTTCACTTTTCACCACCTCCATATTCCCTTGCATTCCAAAGCATGTCTTAACTTTTCTTCTTAGTCTCCTAATTTGTTTCTTCATTTCTTTTCCATAGTTTTCTATTTTATAGTGAATGATTTAGAAAGTGGACCGTGAATTGTCATTGTCTTACTAAAAACCTATCAATGACTTTCTGTGAATTAGAATTTAAACTTGATACTTGGAACTTCTCTAGCTTTATTCCATTAAGGTCTTCCACCTTAGACAGTTTGTCAAAGAGGAGGAATTTGAAGTCAGTCTTGATTCAAAGGATAGACACTGCAGAAACTTTTCAAGAACTCAATTTATGCTTGCTGCATTTCCAAGTATGTTTATTTGGAGGTTGACTTGCCTGAGTATGCCTGTGGTCTGCAGGTTCTTCTCCTTTCCCATGTAGTCCATCATGGTGTTTTTTTTCCAAAATTTTATTGATAAACAGCAATGAGACAGTTTCAAATCGAATTAGAAGTACAGTTTCAACTAATAACACACTGCATATATTCTTCTTAGTGGTTAATTGCTGTACAAGATGCGGACTTGAGATCCTGTTTACAAACACCATTAGAACAAATCATTCTATTCATTAAGAGAATGCATCATGGTTTTTAAGAAAAGTCTTTCTACTACTAATCGTAAAGGTACACTTTCTGATACAATATTAGAGAAAGTATACCCTTTAGCTGTAGAGAAAGTGAATAACTCTAGAAACTTGGTAACAAGTTGTTGCACAATTTAGTTGGCATCTGTTCTTTACTTTGAACAGAATTGGAGAGGCTTTACTGGAGTTTTTAGTTGATGTTATTATAAATAACACTTGATGAGCTTTCATTATAATTTTTAGTGTGTCTTGTAGTTTGAGTTAAGGCTTCCTTCAAATCCATTTTCTGTGTTTATGTAAACAGGTCTTAACAGGGATAAAATGCTAAATTATGTCTCAGTCTAGTAGTCCACATTTGGGAGTCCATGAAATGAAATACCTAAAACAGTGGTCAGCTCCATCTACTGCTGTACGTTAAGATGTATTTGCAGTAAATTTTACTGGTGTCTAACAGTTAAGTTCGAACCTTGTTTTGGTTGATGCTGTTGTAGTAATTGCTAAGTCTGAGAAAATATAGATGTATCAGCCTAAAAAGTTGAAGTTAAGCCTGTTGCTTTGTTGTAAAAATTTAGGAATTATGATTTTCAAGCTTACACCCTAAGAGAAAGTTTTAGGGGTCGGGAGATTGAAATGAAAGTTACAGGAAAGGAAATACAGCTTTTTTGTTAAAGGATTTTTTTTTTTTTTTGCTCAGAATGCCTCCAGGGCAGGTTTGGCTGGCTTGAGTTGTGGGGATGAACCACGGCAACCTGAGCCTGACTGCTTTGTTGAAGCAGCCACTTAAAAGAACTGAGCTATGGGGCAGGCCCCCTGTTAAAGGAGAGCTTTACTTGGATGTCAAATATATCTCTTAATCCACTGGACATTAATTTAAAAAATTTATTTTAAAACATCAATTAGAAATTGCATGCCTAAAATTAATGAAATTCCCAATATTTTAGGTATGAACTTAAAAATAAGGGCATGTCAAAATTCCTTTAGGAAATGTGTGAGCAAATATGTTTTAAGATAAAATTGAATGCGTTTCTCTTTTTCTGCCTTGTATTTAAAAGATTTTTTAATAGATGAAACTTGTACACTTTAAGCTTTTGTTGTTTATCCGGAAGTTCCAAACTCATTTTTTTGTTAATCTCAGGTTCAGTATCTATACCGAGTGTTCTGCCGGCTGCGTCCTGGTATTTCTATTCTTGCACTCCATGGCAGACAGCAGCAGATGAGAAGAATGGAAGTCTATAATGAATTTGTCCGCAAGAGAGCTGCAGTGCTCTTTGCTACTGACATTGCAGCCAGGGGACTAGGTAAGAAAACTTAATGGAGTGAAATTTGTGTGACGATGGAAAACATAATTTACCTATAAGGTGCATTGTGGAAAATCTAATAGACTCAAATATTTGGCCATCTTTTTCCTTTTGTGGGATAAATTAGTAAATGGTAATAGTTGATTAATGTTAAGGATTTATTAGTGAGACTTCCTGTAATATTTGCATCTTTTTTGCCCTTACTGTGTTCCATCATAAATTCTTATGAACCTCCAAAGCAGAGGAAGATTAAAGGTTTAAAGGCAGGGGAAATATTTCCTATTTCTTTGAAAATTACAGACATGCTCATTGTAACTTACTTAACAAGAAAAATTAGTGAAGTCTATCTTTTCATAATTATGCTACTTTGTTTTAAGATCATAACATTTAATATACTTCAGTGTTTTAAAGTGTCATTGTATTACTGTAGGATTTTTAGCTTTGTCAGGGTAGATGAGAATCAAAGTGATTGGAACTGGTATCCTGAGTCAGTTTAGTTTATTGTGTTATGGCAAACTTTAAACTCATGTAAGATGATTAAATCTAATGTGCTCTCCTCCTCTTACATACTTATCTTTCCAGATTCTCCTTTTTCTGCCTTATTACTCTAAAGCATGTCTCAGCCATCATATGGTTCACTTGCATGTGGTTGGACCCAAGTATGCAATGTTTTTAAAAGTTCTTGAGGCCTTTTTCTCAGTACCATGACGTCTTTCCTCCTGTAATCCCCATTGTTCTTTGACTATGTAGATTTTAAATATTCTGATAATACTTTTCCTATTTTTGGTTTTGAACCCACAGAAATTCGTATCAACAAGACCATATTTTTAAGCTAAAATTTATTCCTTTAAAATCATTAAAAAAGCCCATACATAGCATCTAGTCACAGTGAACAATAGTAATATTTATAATACCTTCCTTGGATTTGTTAAAATAAATATTAACTAATGTAGCTTTTTGGCATTTTTTCTCTACCCCTACCCTCCATCTTATACATAGTGTATATAGCCTTTTTTTTTTTTTTTTCTTTTAATGAGTTTAGGACAGGGTCTACAGAGTATACCAGATCTCATGCGTAGGTTGGACTCTAGTGATTCTCCTGTTTTCAGCATCCCAAGCACTGGGATTACAGGCACATGCCACCATGCCCAGTCTTGATCATCCTCTCAGCTTGCGGGGCGAGGGGGCACACCAGGGATTGAATCCTGGCCACTGCGCTCTGCTGAAGCAGGCACTTGAGTCTGCTGAACTATCTGGCCAGCCCTTATATAGCCTTTTAGTTGAAGGTTCTTGATTTCTGACCAATGAATTTTTTGGTAGAATTTAGCAGGTCTCTATGTTCTGCTAAACAGGGGTTGAGAAGACACTGTTTTTTCATCAGCTGTTAACTGAAACATAGCATTATGAATTAAATAACAAAGCATTGAATTTTCAGTAGTACTTGTGACTTTGTCACTAGTTAAAATCGTATTTTCCTTTTTTGTATTTTAGGGAGGGGTCTACAGGGTGTTCATGGTCTCACTACTAGACCAGATTCGTAGTGATCCACCTGTTTATAGCCTCCCAAAAGCTGGGATTACAGGCGTGTGCCCCCATACCCAGTGTCAGTTGCCATCTCAGCGCGCCCCAGGGGGGTGGGGGATCGAGCCCCTGCGTCTGCTTGCAGGCGCTTTCATCTGCTGAGCTATGTGGCTGGCCCAAAATGTTTTTTTTTTTTTTTTGTGATACTGGGGATTGAACTCAGGACCTTGCACTTGCCAGGCAAGTGCTTATTCTACTGAGCTTTGTTCCCTGTATTTTCATTATATCTTAGATTTTAACTGATATTTTAGAAAATTGTTTTTGCTTAGTATAACTTAGATATTATGATTATTATACTCAGAAATAGGTTATATTAATGTTTTATTTAGCAAGGTAGATGTTAGTATGTCAAAAATTTAATAAGTAGTATTGCTATGTTCTATTATAAATTTTCTCTTGTTCTTTGTATTTTACTTTGTATGTTTAAGATATTCTGAGAAGCAGTTTACAAGCTGCAATTGTGGCATGAAAAAGTTAAGAGTTTCTGTTATAGTTTGTTAAAAGCACGAATGCCTTTATAAGCAGTATATAGTGTTACTTTTTTTTTTTTTTTTGGCGGAACCGGGGATTGAACTCAGGCCCTTGCGCTTGCCAGGCAAGCGTTTATTCCACTGAGCCATCTCCCCGGCCCCTGTAGTGTTACTTTTAAGTGTTTAAAAGCTCTTACAAATTATGTCATTGTATATGCTGGCCTATAACTTATTCTCCGAATCTTTACATGTATAAACATTCACAGTGTTCATTATGTAGAATGCCACAGTAATAATTTATCCAGTTATTTCCATTTCTATATAAATGGACACTTGAATTTCCAGTTTTTTCTTTTAAAATGTACAATCAGTATAGTGAAAATCCTTGAGTCAGTGTCCAAGAACTTCTACAGGATGCGTTGGCATCTTTCTGTTTTATTTTATTTCTTACAGAAACATGCACGTGAGGGTAAAAAAGAGCTACAGTGAATAGGCCTTCTCTACTTCTTATTTCCTGGAAGTAATACTTTAAAATAGTAATCTTTGGTGTCTAGCTTCCTATGACTAAGGGATCTTTCACTGCTCCTTTCTATCCTAGCAGATTTGGAAATTATGCAGAGTTCATTCCGTTATCTAACACTCATCCCTTATTTTCTGTCCTCCATTTTCTCTATATTGCTACATCATGACTCTTGGCTGCATAAACACAATTTGTATTTATGTTGTTTTGACTATAGTTGTGTACTGCAGCGATAAGTGTTGTACTGTTTTCCTTCTCATACTTGCTTTTGTGTGTTTTTCTTGAATTGTTACGAAATTTGCTTAGTTCTGTGTTCCGGCTCTGCTTTCTCAAATGTCCCAACAGATGTCACTTGCCCAGTTTTCTTGCAGTTGCAACACAGTTCCGTTTCTTTCCCCCTTATTACCTCCCTTTGTAGCCTTCTTGTAGCTCTAATCTGGATTCATTGTTCCATAAGCCTAATATACATTTTTATCTTGAAACTTTTATTTGTAGATATTTTTCTTCTTTTCTCTTGGATTTTTTTCTCTTAAGTCTCTTCTTATAGCTTTCTAGGAGTGCATGGGAGGTAAATTTTGAGTATTCTGTATCTGATAATAGTCTATTCTTGACTGATAATTGGGTTGAGAATAGAGTTCTGGGTTGAAATGGTTTCCTCTCAGAATTTTGCAGATGTTTTTCATTGTCTTGGTAGTCAGCCTATTGTTGGAGATACTTGCTTGTTTTTACTGCTTTTTGGTAATGCTTTTCTGGATCTTCCTGGATTTTCTGTTTGATCTCACTGTCCAGGCACTTTATGATAATACATTATAGTATGAGGTCCCAGCATGTGCTCTTCTTCACTTTGTCACTGTAGATAGCATTGTTCAGTGGAATACTCTGTGATCACTGAAATAATCTCTCAGCTCTGTCTAGTATAGTGGGTATCCCCTTTTGGTAGAAGTGTGAAGGGGTCAGATTTCTTGAGCTTAGTTTTAATTAAACATGAATAGTTGCCATGTTAAGCAGGGTAATATAAATACATGTCTTTCAGTTACAAGAAAGTTACCTTTGAATTCCTTCATGGTGTCATTTATGCATATGATGTTATTTACATGAAATAATATAAATACCATTTTGTGGAGAGCCTCAGATGCTGATGTCTATTTCCTTTGAGTACTGAGTCTTTTCAGAGAAGAAAACTTCAACTTCATGGGGGTTAATACTGCTGTTGGCTCTGTACAAGACTCCAAGGGAGTTGACGCTAAAACCTCTTGGGGAACATGCGTACTTTCCTTCTGCACCCTTGTTTTCACTTTGACCCTTGAGTTTCTGCCTTTGGCTGGACCTAGTGTGTGGGGGTTGGAAGCTTTGTAACTGCTTTTATTTCCTCCTTGAGACTGAGCCACAGGATAAGGTAGGAGCCAAGTTTAGGTGCAGCTTTCAAGTGCAGTTTGTAGCTTTGCAATACTGCCTGCTTTTGGAAATACCTGTATATTTAAGTCCTAAGAATCAGTTGTTCTAAATACCTATTTTTTTTTTTTTTTTTACTTTTTCCCTGTACTAAAACTCAACCCTTTTGAGTAGATTGTGACTTAATGATACAAGTGTCACTAGCCCTGTCTTTTAGTATCTTTTTTTTTTTTTTTAATATTCATCCTTTTTCTCTAACAAATTGATCAGACATCTTCTGCAAAATTTATAAATGACTAGAACTAGTTCTCTTGAGAACAGGATTCCTTGGAAATGAGTGAAAATTGCTGTACCAGAAATAGATAGAGGGTAATTATTGCTAAGAGACAGAAAGAAACCAGAAAGGCACCATTCATTCAGTTGGAGGTGGGGCTAGTTGTAAAAAAAAAAAAAAAAAAAACCTTCTTTTAATTTTTTTTTTTTTTTTTTTTTTTTTTTTTGCGGAACCGGGGCTTGAACTCCAGACCCTTGTGCTTGCCAGGGAAGCGCTTATTCTATTGAGCCATCTCCCCATCCCCAAGCAATTTTTTTCTTTTTGGTCCTTTTTTTTTTTTTTTTCCATTTAAATTTTGAAATCGGTTTTATGGTTAGTTCACTGAGACCCCATGGAGGGTAGTTCTTTGAGGTTATTAAACATCTGGGTATTTCATTATTTGTCTGACATGAAGCAATCTGTCTCGTCTGTGTCAGTTATAATATAATCTTCACATTCAAACACTCATTAATTTTAGTTCACTTTATCAAAGAAGCATAGCCTTTATCATCTCTTGGCTCATGTAATTAATTTTGCTTTTAGTAGTGTTCACATTGATGCCTGTCAGTTTGATGTGATGGAAGTCAGGGCAGGCATTACTGTAACACAGAAACGATATAGTAGGCCAGATCTTGAAAATGATGTTTTACTTAATATTCTATCTAGATTTTCCAGCTGTGAATTGGGTTCTTCAGTTTGATTGTCCAGAGGATGCCAACACATATATTCACAGAGCAGGTAGAACTGCCAGGTAGGAGTTCTGACCTTTTCTCTTTTTTTTCACTTTTGATACTGTACTATCTAAATAACAAGACTGCTCCTTGAACTTCAGAGAATGAAGACTCTAGGTAAGTGAGTACTGACTGTTTGGTATTTAGTGGTGTGGATGGATGGCAGTGTGACAGCTGCTGTAAATCATATGGCTTGACTTGATTCCTGTTGAGAAAAATGCGTTGCCTTTATTTTAGATTCTCATTTTAAATTAAACTTTTCAAACTTTTAATAGAACTGCTTGCTGATTATCATCACATTGAAGGTTAATGACCTGTTTTCACATGAAGAAACTGAGTTAATACTTTAAAGGATCCAGAACTAGAATTTTTGAGCCCAGGTAGTTTGACTCCTCCAGGCCAGATCTTGTGCTCTGACCCCTTGTGGTATAGGCTCCAATAAGAGATAGGGTGGTTTGTAGTCATATATTTCTTTTTTCTTTCTTCCCTCAGGGGGATTAGAGGCATCAGTGAGGCCCATTCCCACAAATTTCGTTTTCTTTTTATGTTGCTCTTTTACAAATCCTTAGTAAGAGTACCTTGTAGTTGGTCAAAAACTATAGGGAAGCTGTCTAGAAAAGAAGAGAGCAAAGTCAGTTATTTGCAGCTACATGGCATAGTAAAGTAGCATGGAGAGAATCACATGCATGTCAGTAGTATGGAGGTTGAAGTGAGGCTAGAAATGTATGCTGTTGGGGCCGGGGAGATAGCTGAGTAAAGTAAGCGCTTGCCTGGCAAG